CCAACAATCTGGCTCATAGTTCTTCCATAATGCTTCTGATGGTGTTGAACAAGTGTGGATTAACTGCCTTCTGGTGTTGTGCTACCTGGTGTTATACTCTGGGGATGCAAAGTTTGATTTAACCCAGTCTCCATTTGCCAGAAGGCTTTTTGTCACCTGAAGAAGGCAGAAATTTAGACAAATCACTACAAGAAATGTAATAAGTACACAGGAGGGGTCATTGGAATTCAGGCTTAAGGGATGAGTAGAAATTCACTAGTCGGAATAAAAGAAGAAGGAGATTTCTGGTAGAGGGTCAATGAGATTGAGATAAGTCTTTGCTCCATTTGTGCAAATAGCTCTGCATGGCTAGAGTGTGGTAGGATGAGAAGAGATAGGGGTACTGTTTAAGAGGCAGCACAAGGCCAGATCATGAAGGATCTCCCCATTCTAAGAGATTTGGATTCTCCCCTTCGGATTCTGTGTCTCCCTCTCTCTCCGCCCCTCCCCTTCTCTCACTTTGTCTTTTACTTCCTCAAAACAAATAAACATTAAAATTTTTTTAATTTTAAAAAACTTAAAATAATACAGATTCTGGGCCTTTACCTTATGATCTAATGCGTCAGAATCTCTGGGGGTGGGGCTATAAAATCTGCATTTTATTTTATTAATATCTGCATTTTATTTTAAAATTTTAAAGTTTATTTATTTATTTTGAGAGGGAGCACAACAGGGGAGAGGGAGAGAGAGAGAAAGAGAGAAGGAGAGAGAGAATGAATCCAAGCAGGCTCCACACTACCATCATAGAGCCCGACTCAGAGCTCGAATTCATGGCCTCAAGATCATGACCTGAGCGAAAGTGGTGGGATGCTTAACTGACTGAGCCACCCAGGCACCCCTAAAACCTGCATTTTAAAAAAGCAAACTGGTTGCTCTTTCATACTCAAGTTCGAGAAGCATCACAGACATGTAGCAATTACTTATGTTGATTAGAATATAGTTTTGAGGGATCCTATTACAGTGTCAGCCATTTATATTCCCATGTAGGCCAGTTATTGTCCTTTGGGACACAAGTTGCATTCATCACTAAGGAGTACCCCAGGGTATCTACCACCAGCACCTGAAAAATGCATCAAACTATATATTCCAGTGGAAGTTGTGTCATAGTGATGTATAAAAAAAGAACTCATTGAAGACAGTCTGTACAGATTAACACACCCTCCACCCCACCAAACCTGGAGATCCTACTTCTTTTAACATCAGCATGCTGGAACATAAACAGAGAAGAAAAATACTGAAAAGGTGTGAGAATCCAGATATCTGGAGCCACTTAGTAAAGGGGCAAACATGAATTTACATGAGCACATCACTAGATTACAGTGTAGGACTTAATATCCAAGAAACCATTGTCATAAATATAATGGCTAATTATATTTCTGCTTATACTTCACTACCTTCTGCTTATATTTAAAAAATTTTAGAACAACGTGGAAAGGGAGGGTAAATTGTTTAGATTTTGGGATTTGTAAATTCTGTTCATCTGGGGAGTTCATGAATATGAAACATCTTCTTTCCTGATGGATTAATATAAAGTGGCGACTCTCAAACACAGACATACATTAGAATCCCCCAGGGAGCTTCTGAAAAATAAGGATCTGAGCCCATCCGAGCTATCCTTAGGCACCTGGGAAATGATCTTCCAGGAATCGATCTTTTCAAATAGCCTCATGATTTGGGTGTGCAGGTGGAATCTTGGAATCACTGATTTAATGATAGTACTGCTATAATATTATAACCTGAGCATGGAAACCCTAAGGAGAAAATTGGGTTTAATTGGAGGAAAATCAAAGCTCTGGGGAAAGTGTTATGTTTGAGAATTAAATATTACATAAATTGTGCACAACAAAATATGTAAATGAGCATCTGCTATTTGATAATTAACAGTGTAGCCCCTTTAACATGGGCTGCTACATTGGTGATCCTGGGGACTGTATGCATCTGGACACCTGTAAAATGAGCAAAAATGCCAACTTCAGTAGCCTTGGTAAAGTCAATCAACACTGAAGGAGACAGTGAGGAAATTCAGGTAATGAGTGGCATAGAAAAGAATCTGGGGGCGCCTGTGTGGCTCAGTCGGTTAAGTGTCCGACTTCAGCTCAGGTCATGATCTCACAGTTCGTGAGTTCGAGCCCCACATCGGGCTCTGTGCTGACAGCTAGCTCAGAGCCTGGACCCTGTTTCAGAATCTGTATCTCCCTCTCTCTCTGACCCTCCCCTGCTTACTCTGTATCTTTCTCTCTCTCAGAAATAAATAAAACATTAAAAAAATTTTTTAAAAAGAAAAGAATCTGGTCCCTCACCATGCTGCATATTCTTGAGTGGAATTGTCTGCCTTTAAGTTGTGCAGGTTACATCCCTGGCTGACTGGGGAGGAGCAAAGCAGAGCAGGATGGAAGGCACAGGACCTAGTAGTCAGTGGCAGTTTCTAGTTATCAAGTCTGGAAAGGGCTGAAGCCAAAAAGTAGAGCCAGCCTCCCTGGAGAATCTGCTGGCAGAAGACCAGAGAGCACGCACAGCAAGGTGGAGGGAGTTCCTTCGGTGGCTTGCCCTCAGTAGTGTCAGCCAAGGGGTTCACTGAGCGATGGGCAGCAGGGCTCTGCCCAGTCCTATTGCAGGGGTTGGCTATTCCATAAGATGAAAGTGATTTCCTGAATTGCCCAGCGGATGTAGGATGTGCTGAAAAGAGAATTTAGTTTAACTCAACCAGTATAATCAAGTATCTGCTATGTTCCAAACCTGGTGTCCCAAGCTGAGCATACGGAAATGAAATAGGTCCTTCTCCCATAGAGTTCATGTCTAGAGAGAGAGGCAGACATGTAAACGGGCTGCCTAAAATAAAGCAAGAAGAGCTAGTGGAGGAGTGTGCACAAACTTGTAGGCCATACCCAGGAAACAGCAGCTCGCTCATTCTGCTTGGGTCCCCAGGGAAATTTGCAGCGAGAAAGTAATATTTGAACTGGGTCTTCAAGGATATGTGGGAATTTATCAGGTACACAAAGGAGACAGGGAGATTGGGGTGGAAAGGAGGGATATTCTTGGCAGAGGAAATAGGCCAGCTGTTCATGGCGTGCTCTGCAATTGTAAATATCTTTGACATGGCTTCAATATAAAATAGAGCTATGCACAGAACAGGCCCTTGAGATCCTCAGATAGGAGCCCTACTGGTTGTGAGGATGCCCCTTTTTCTTTCTCCTGGCTCATTAACAGAATAAAAGAGCTAGAGTTGAACCAGCATTTAAAAATCATATAACCTGATGCTGTTTAAAATTTACTACAACCCATAGTAAGATATGGATTTTATACACACACGCACAGGAAACATTTCTTGAAAATGTATTTCCCTTTATGAAGTGCAAAGCACTGTGAAAGTTTCTTTTCCATTCTATTTCCTTGTTTAAAAACTGACTTTATTTTTAGAGCTATTTTAGGTTCACAGCAATATTGGGAGGAAGATACAGAGATTTCCCACATCCCCATGGTCCTCACACATGCACAGCCTTCCCCATTATCAACATCCTGCACCAGAGTTGTACATTTGTTACAACTGATGACCCCACACTGACGCATCATAATCACCCAGAGGCCATAGTTTACGTTATGGTCCACTCTTGGTGGTGTACATTCTCTGGGTTTTTGACAAATGTATAATGACACGTATCCACCATTATAATATACAGAATAGTTTCACTGCCCTAAAAAGTCCTTTATGCCCACCTAGTCTTCCCCGCTCCCTTAACTCCTAGCAGCCACTGATCTTTTTACTGCCTCAATTGTATTGCCTTTTTATTTTTTTTTATTTTTTTATTTTTTTTTTAAATTTTTTTTTTTTAATGTTTTATTTATTTCTAGGAGAGAGAGAGACAGCGTGAGCAGGGGAGGGTCAGAGAGAGAGGGAGATACAGACTCTGAAACAGGCTCCAGGCTCTGAGCTGGCAGTCAGCACAGAGCCCGACGCGGGGCTCGAACCCACGAACCGCGAGATCATGACCTAAGCGAAAGTCGGATGCTTAACCGACTAAGCCACCCAGGCGCCCCTTGTATTGCCTTTTTAAAAATGTCATATTACTGAAATCATATAGTATTTCACCTTTCATATTGGCTTCTTTTATTTAGTAATATGCTATAAATATTCCTCCATGTCTTTTCATGGCTTGATAGTGCCTTTCTTTTTAGCAATGAATAATATTTCATTGTCTGGCTGGACCACAGTTTATTCATTCACTTACTGAAGGACATCTTGGTTGCTTCTAAGTTTTGACAATTTAAAGAAAGCTGCTATAAACATCATGTGCAGGTTTTGTGTGGATGTAAGTTTTCAACCCTTTTGGGAAAATACCCAGGAGCATGACTGATGAATCATAAGGCAAGAAACTGTCAAACTCTCTTCCTACATGGCTGTACCAGTTTGCATTTATTTTTTTAACTTTATTTATTTATTTTGGGGGTGGGAAGTATAGACAGAGAGGGAGAATCCCAAGCAGGCTCCACACTGCCAGCATGGAGCGCAATGTGGGGCTTGAACCCATGAACCATGAGAGCATGACTTGAGAGGAAACCAAGAGTCAGACACTTTACCGACTGCGCCACCCAGGGGGCCCCATTTGGCATTTATTCCCTCCACATTTTCACAAGCATTTGGTGGTGTTGATGTTCTGGGTTTTGGCTCCTCTAAGAGGTGTGTAGTGTTACTGCACTGTTGTTTTAATTTGCATTTTCCTTATGACCTATGATGTGGAGTCTCATGGACTGATTTAACTGCTAGATAAAGGATAACACCAAACGAATCTGTGGGTTCATTTTCTTTTTAGCAGCTTGGGTAGCTGGTTTGAATCTTTAATCTCAATTTCTGATTCTAAAACTAGTATAATTTAATCATGGGGGTTGAGCAAGCACTTTTTTTTTTTTTGTTCCTCAGTTTCCTCATTTCTCATTTAGGATTAATAATTTTTGTTTTTCCTCAAAAATCTTATTTGAAGGCCATCCAGTCCTACCAACTCCTCTGTCTGGATTTTGGAGAAGAGCAAATAGAAAATTTGAGGGAGAACACTTGAGAATGTATATAGTGAAACACAAATGTTGGTAACCATTGGAGGCCTGGTTGGGTCACTGAAGCAGTAGGTGTTTTCCCAGGAGTCCACTGGGAGGGATGAGGCTGAGAGAGGAAATACCACAGGGGAAATACCACTTCACTCTTGGGCTGTCCCGAGAACGTCACAGGAAACTTTGATTTTGCATGTGCCCCAGGCCCTGCTCCAAAGAAAATACCCAAAATAAAATCCACGGGCAAAGTTCTCCTTTTCTTCGATATCAGGGATCAAGTGCCTCATTTCTGGATCAAATTTGGAAGGTGTTGGTTTCCTCCCACCCCAGAAGCCTTGGCAGAGGGCACCTTAGCTGCGAGAGACTCTGGGGCCTGGGCACTGGCCATGCTGGTGGCATGGAGCAGGGAGGCTGGGCATGTAGGACCAGCCCTGGGTTGCGTGCAGTCCTAATGAAGACTCATGATGCCCAAGGATTTAGGAAATAAATGGAGACTGGGGATTTTCACCCTTCCTCACTGTAGCTTGGTGGTTTCAGATCTCATCAAAATTTCTCTGTCCATATTCCCAAAAAAAGGTAAATAGCTAACCATCAGATTTTTTTTTAAAAGAACCACACAATGAATCTTGCAAGGACAGGTCATGTAAAGGTGGTTTCTGTGTGAACTCAGAGTGATTATTCATTGCCAGCTCCAGTGCCAGGCTCTGTGTTTTCCATTTTTATCGGGCAACTTCTAAGCTACAGTCAAAATTCTTTATTATCAGATCTGCGGACAGCTTACTAGTGTTGTGTCTTACCACACCTCTGAGCTGGTCACCTGCATTGCCCAAATGTGCCCTTTGCGCTGTGTCCACCTGGACATATATATATATATATATATATATATATATATGTAATGGTGACTCCTACTCTTTCCCCAACACCTAGCCCAAGCAGTAGCTTCTTTGCGTGACATTCTCTGACTTTCCCACCCACCCACCAATAGATTGCAGCTGTGTTCCCACAGCACTTTGATTATATGCGTAGAACCCTGACTTGTCCTAAATGGCATCTAGGACTTCTCTTCCTTTAACTCTTCTTTTCAAAACCCTTCCATTTCTTTGCCCAAAACTCCGTGTTTAATAAATGCCTATGTTATGCTTACTATGTGCCAACCACTGCAAGTATTAGATGGTTAGATTCCCTGAGAACCCTGTGGGAGCAGTACTATTACCGCTCCATCTAAGTTTACAAGTGAGGAAACTGAGTCATGGAGAGGGTAAGTAACTTCATATCCAGCCTAGTACGTGGCAGAACTGACATTTGAACCCAAACTCTAGAGTCCTGGCAAATGGACGGTGGCCTCACAATCCTAATTTTTCTAGAAGTAATGAGAATCTCCAGGGCACCAAAACTGACTAGGAAAAAAAGTTCATGTATGTACAAGGAAGTATGGAGAACAAAAACAAAATATTAAAATTTGAGATGTTATCTTCCTCTCTAAGTTAAACCTGTTTTTCAACATCTGTCTGAGTTACCTCAACAAATAGCTATCAGATGAATAGGGCCATTTTGTAGGCCACCTTCTTCCCTTAGGAGGGGGTCAGTGGCTCTTGATTGAGGTTCCATTTTCCCGGGGGGGTCTGCAAACAGGATCCTTAATGACTAACATTGAGTTAATCATTAGTAGAGTGATTAATATATGTGTTTTGGAGTCTAAGTGATTGAGGTAGGATCCCCAGCTTTGTATAGCTGTGTGGCATCAGGCAGCCTCTGGGCATCTCTGGGTTCAGATTCCTGATTTATAAAATGGGAGTAATCATTGTATCTACTACTGTATGAGGCAGGATGCTGGAGTTAGGAGCTTATGCTGGAGTATTAACCATCTTGCATTGATCATTGGCTCGATGATACAACAAAGGTTTGTTTTTCACTCAAACTCATGTTCAATGTCGACCAGTAGAGGGGGGGTTTGTTCATTGTGGTCACTCAGAGACACAAGCTCTGTCGAGACCAAGATTTCTCCACTTCAGCACTGTTGACATTTGGGGATGGATAATTGTGTAAGAGCCATCCTGACTATTGTAGGATATTTAGTAGCATCCCTGGTCTTTAATTAAGTAGGTGCCCTCAGCCCTATGTTTATAGCCACTGACATGTCTGAGAAGCATGTTACCACTTCTGTACCCCTCCTTGAGAAGCCCTAAGACAGTGTCAACCTCTTCTCCCCTCTGTCATAGTTCCCAGAGCCATGGCCCAAGAGGATAGTGTGTGTGTGTCCATGGGGCATGAGAGACGTAGCTCTGCAACACCCTCCCTCAGCTCTTCCCCCTAAGACAAGAAACAGCCCTCTCTCTAAAATAAAAACAAAAACAAAACAAAGCAAAACAAACAAACAAAAAACGACAAACCAAAACCACCAAAAACAAAACACCCCCACTGTAACAACCAAAACTATCTGCAGACATTTCCAGATGTCACCTAATGAACAAAATTACTCCCAGTTGAAATTCACTGATCTTAGACACACATTTTCATAACCAGAAAAAAACAAATAATTTTATATGAAAATAATATATTCACTTTCCCTTATGTTTGATTGATTAAGGCTAGTCACATAGCCATACCTAACTTCAAAGAGGAAGGAAGTAGAATACTATCATTCAGTGCTGTCCCTACCAAGGGAAAGACCTGGAATATCTGTGAACAGGCCTAATAAACAACCCTGTAGGGTTGTTGAGAGGATTAAATGAAATAATGCATCCAAAGCACTTAACACAGTGCCTGGCTGATAAGTGCTGTAAATATTGGAAGACAAGTACGAAGCTGGATACCCTGGGGAGAATGGAGAGCTGTGGGCTGAATGGCTCTACCAACAACTCCTTTTTTGAAATATAGAATTTCCACCCCACATATTTGAACTTTCCTTTATCTAAAGGCTGGTAGACGTTGGTTAGTTTGTGGTGCTTTTTTGCAAGGAATTCTTTTATTAGCAATATTGTTGGCCAATTGAAGTTACCTTTTACTTAAAAAAAAAAAGGAGGGGGTAGATAAAAAAGTCAGACTGGCCCCTGCCTGTCACTCCAAGCTTGAATTAATCTAGTCTGCCTCTTACCCTCATGTTCTAATCTCTTGGGCGTTCTTCCCTAAACATCCCATACTATCTTTCCTACCCCACGATCTTTGTACATGCTATTCCTTCTGTATAAAATGTTCCCTTCCCATCCATTTAGTTAATTCTTACTAATGTCTTCACTTTCCAAGGAAACCTTCCTGGCTTCTGGTATCCCCTCCTCTGCTCCCTTCCTAATAAATGCTCATTGTCCTGTGGTCTTTCTGTCATCACACGTCGCAATTTGTGGTTATATATTTATTTCTGGACCTGGTTGATTAATGTCTGTCTTCACTACTGGGTTGAAAATTCAGTTGCAACTTTCTCTTTGCCCACCTTACAACCCCAGGGCCTGGGATCTGATGAATCACAGCCATTTAATAAATATATGTTGAATGAATGTGTGAGTGAGTGAGTGAATGATTGAGTGAGTGAATGAATGAATGAATGAATGAGTGAATAAAGGCCAAGACTAAAATCAGGGTCTGCTGATACTTGCTTTGAACTCTTTCCTTCAAACCATGATGTAGGCAACAAAGTGCTGGCCCAACACATTCCCCAGGAAGAGAAAAGGGAAAGAAATCTTAGCCTAAAATGTTGAGATTCCTCACCTCCTATCAGGAAACTCCTAGCAGAAGGTATGCCACCTGCACACAGTGACTGAGTGCCTCACGCTGGCCTGCCACAGCAGCAGTCGTGTTTGCAGAGGAAGCACAGAGCTCCCAGTTCCTGGTTGGGAACCATGGTGAAGAGTCTAAACAGAGCTGGGCAGCCTCAATCTGGAGCCTCGGGGAACAGCCTGGAGGCCTTGGCTCGCCAGCAGGCCACCCCTGAGCTGCTAGTGGTAAGTCTGGCCTTCCTCCTCAGGATTTGGGTTAGCTCTTGGTTTCATTCTTCTGGGCCCTCTCCCCCAACCCCTTGGCAGCCTGAACTCTGGCCTTTTGAACTTGAATGGGGATCCATTTTCTTCCTTCCTTTGACTTGGAGGGAATCCAAATCTCTGTGCTCATGGCTGGTTGCCCATTCCCACCCCCATGGTCTTCACCCCCCATTGGTTTTTTTTCTGGTTAGCTGGAGTCTGGTCTACAAAGAATCTGGTAGGCTGATCCCCTAAGTCTCTGCCAGGCATGTGTTCATCAGACCCATGCAGTCGCCACTCACTCATAGCTCACAGCCTCTCTGTGCACCTGCGAGTCTCCTCTCTTTGAAATACAATCATGTTACTTTTTGCTGAGGCCAGGCATGACATACCCAAAAGTAATGCAAGTAAGTATTTAAATCCAAATTCCTCATCATTAGCAAAAAAGATCTGTTGTTGAAAACCTGGATGATTAGGAACAAATCCCTCGATACAATTATGTACAGGAAGAAAAATAAAACAGATAAGCAAACAAAAATAGGTGAGGAGGAAAATGAGGAATCAGCCACCTCTAACAAACACAGAAACACCTCTTGGCTCTAATGGGGGTGCAGTGATAGCAGGCCCATGAGGCTTAAAAGATGGCAAAACACTGGTGGCATAATTCATCTAGTTTATTCCATTAAATCTGAAGAGCACTTGAAATCATTATAAGCAGAATGACTGCTACTCCACAGCACAGCCCACTGACCTAAGGATAAACATGGTGATTGGAGGGGAGTCTATGGTCTGAATCAAGGGTATGGTGTTGTGAGCTGTATATTCTGACTTAAATGCATGGCAGAACCCTTGGGCAGCAAACCACAGATGAAATTGTCTTTACCGCATAGGTTAAATTTGTTCATGCAGGGTTTTGTTGACAAAAATGGTTACAGTGTTATATAAATTATACAGACATTTAGAGAAATCACTATTACAATGCAGGCTAGTAGCAAGGAGTAATTTTTGCTAAGCGAGGAAGAGTTATGCATTGTATAATTCTAGAGCTTGTTCATGGGCTAAAGAACATTGCAAGCTCATTCCTGGGGGAGCTAACTTCCTGAAAGGTGGCCTCCCTCCAGAATGGCAAAGACAGAAGTTTAGCTGTGGTTGCTACTGTAATCTGATTTACTGTTTATATGAGTCACTAATATGAGGAGCTAGTCTGGTTTCCACAAAAATCAATTTTCTACAGCCTCTGGTCCTTTCTTTTTTCTCCCATTTTAATTTTTTTTTAATTACTAAAGTAATACATGATTGTAAAATAGCCAAGCAGAACAAATGTTCACAGAAGTGAAATTCTCTTTTTAACTTATACCCCCAAGCCAAATACATTCCCTTCCCTTTCCGGAAACAACCATCATTAATGGTGTATATCCTGCAGATAACTTTTTTCTAAAATGTACAGGAATATATACACAGGATACAGATTATACGTAAAAATAAATGCACATGATGGGGTTGTATTATTTCACTTTTACATAGAATCACATTAAATATTTTAGTCTGCAGCTAAGCTTTTTTTACTTAACAATATGTTGGGTCACTCTTTCTGTGCTGGTATGTATAGATAGATCTAATTCTTTTAAGCTATTGCATTGTTTCATTTGATAATTGCCATACTGTATTTCATTTTTCTCTTATTGCCTGAGTTTAGATTGTGCCCATTTCTGCACTGTGACAGACATGTGCCAGATGTATACACACATACGTGCAAATGTGTATGTATAATATATATGTTATATATATGTTTATATAATATTATATATGTGCACTTCTTTTTTTTTTTTTTTTTAATGTTTTTATCCATTTCTAGGAGAGAGAGAGAGAGAGAGACCGTGAGCAGGGGAGGGTCAGAGAGAGAGAGGGAGCCACAGACTCTGAAACAGGCTCCAGGCTCTGAGCTGGCAGTCAGCACAGAGCCCGACGCGGGGCTCGAACCCACGAACCGCGAGATCATGACCTAAGCGAAAGTCGGACGCTTAACCGACTAAGCCACCCAGGCGCCCCTATATATGTGCACTTCTATGGTATTTCTGTAGGTGATTTCCCAAAAGAGAAATCAGTTGAGCTAAGCTGTATGTGCAGTTGAAACTTTAACACTGTTCGAGCCACTCAGACATAGTCCTCGGAAAGTACTGTGCTAGATCACCCCAAGTGAGGGTGTGTGTGATGGTGCCCTTTCCATCATACCTTCACCATCACTGGATATTATCCATCATTTCATTTTTGCCAACTCTGTGAATAGAAAGTTATGTGCCATGGTTGATTTCATTTGCATTTTCCTGCAGTAGGGTGACCTTAACCTTTTCTTTAGGCATCTTGCATGATGAGTCTTTGGGGTAAGTCATGTGTACAAGTGAGAACTTGTGTTAAGCCCTCAAAACACAAGAAATTGAGGACATTTAAGCTCAGGTCTCCATGTGCAGTGAGAAGGAGCCCCAAGTTGATTTCTTTAAACAAGGTAGTGCAAATTATGCCAAAGGGTAACAAGATCGAGATATGGAAAGGGCTCTCGTTAGCTTGGCATATACTATGTAGAAATCGAGCTGGTAGGCTAGGTTGCACAAGCTTTAAGTGTTTGTGCAAATGTGTACTGTGGGACCTAAGACAAATTACACAGCCTCCATGTGTCTCAACATTCTCATTGGTCAAACGGGAACCCTAATGTTACCCTCCTCTATGAGGGTAATGAGACAGTGCGTACCTACTCTTAGGCACGGTGCCTAGAAAATAAATGTTTTCTTTGTTGGCTCTGTAAATGTTTGCCAAAATAATAGTAATGACAATAGTTATTGTTGTTATCATAAGTTAAAGAGAGATGGTCATATACCCTCAGGGAAAGACAGAGTCCCTGAGTAGTGACTAAGTGGCATTTCAGCTTGTTAGATAGATACAGGTCTGGGAGGGATGTGGGTGGGCAGCTCACTGACCCTTTGTAGAGCAAGATCCAGTTAACCAGAGAGAAATGATGAATTATTTCCTAATTTCAGAACAATTGGCTATCAGAACAGAAAGGGCGCTTAGAGGCTACTAAGTACAAATATCTCATTGTATGGATGAGAATCAGATCCAGAAAAAAGATACCTTACCTAAGATCACACAGCTGTCCAAGCAACAAAATCAAACCCAGGGCCTCCAACAGCAAGTCCATTTTTTCTCCATCTTCATATTTTCTGCAGTATTCTTCCCCTTTTAGTTGAACAGAGAAAACTATGAAGAATCAGTGTGTGGCGACAGATTTTTATTTTTTGTTCCTGATTTTGGATTATGACCTAAAAGAAAAATAACCAAATTAAGAACTCCTGGATATTAATAAGGGAGTGACACCTCCCAGGAAAAATGGGCAAAAGTGAATAGCAGGTAATTTACAGAAAAGGAAATACAAATGGCCAACATACATGTGAAAAAGAAATGCTCAGCTTGGCTAGTAATAGAGGAAGGAAAACTTTAAAAAAAAATTTTTTTAATTTATTTCTGAGAGAGAGAGAGAGAACAAGAGCAGGGGAGGGTCAGAGAGAGAGGGAGACACAGAATTGGAAGCAGGCTCCAGGCTCTGAGTTAGCTGTCAGCACAGAGCCCAATACAAGGGCTCAAACCCATGAACTGTGAGATCATGACCTGAGCCCAAGTCGGACACTCAACTGACTGAGCCATCCAGGTGCCCTGAGAGGAAGGAAAACTTAAAACAGCATTCATTCATTTATTCAGTCAAAAAGAAGTTTTTAGTGCCTACCATGGGGCAGCAGTGGTTCATCTACCTCATTGGTAGAGGAAGGAAAACTTAAAACAGCATTCATTCATTTATTCAGTCAAAAAGAAGTTTTTAGTGCCTACCATGGGGCAGCAGTGGTTCATCTACCATCATTGTTTATCTACCAGATTTGAAAAAAAAAAAAATTAAAGCATGATAATACCAAGTGTCGGTGAGTATGTAAGGAAATTGGTACTCTCATACACTGCATGGGGGGGCGGGATTAATACACACATTTGGAAAAGAATTTGGTATTTTTCAATTTGGTGGGTTTTTTTGTTTTGTTTTGTTTTGTTTTTTTTTGAGAGAGAGAGAGAGAGAAAGAGAGAGAATCTTAGACAGGTTCAGCACAGAGCCTGATGGGGGACTTGATCCCACAACACTGGGACCTTTACCTAAGCCCAAATCAAGGGTCGAATGTTCAACTGACTGAGCCACCCAGATGCCCCTGGAAAGCAATTTGAATAGTTTTTTGGCAAAATAATTCCCCCTCTTTAAAGATGCCTATACCCTAATCCCCAGAACCTGTGAATACGTTAGGTTACATAGCAAGGGGGAAATTAAGGTTGCAGATGGAGTTAACATTGCCAATCAGCTGATCTTAATAGAAGGAGAGAAGCCTGAATTATCCAGGTGGAGCCAGTGTAATCTCAAGGGTCTCTAAAAGCTGAAGAGAGGGGCAAAAGAGTGAGAGTCAGAGACGGAGAAATGACAACCTCACAGCACCAGGGTGAGGTGAGGAGGAGCCAGTTTGCTGTTTCTAGCTTTGGAGATGGAGGAAGGCAGCCTTAAGCCAAGGAGTGCAGGCAGGCTCTAGAAGCTGGAAAAGGTAAGGAAACTGATTATGCCCCCTCCCAGAGCCCCTAGAAAGGAATGCAGTCCTAGCAACACCTTGATTTGCCCCCTGTGAGACCAAGTCAGAGCTTAACAAAACTCCAAGATAGTAAGTTTGTATTGTTTTAAAGCACAGATTCCCTGTAATTTGTTACAGCAGCAATAGGAAATGGATAAACCTCTATTAAAATTTAAAACGTTGTGTTATTTGACTCAGCAATTCTCGTTATTACCTTGGAGGGCCACTAGTTTGAGTATATATACAAAGCCACAGACAAAGATGTCTGCTGCAGCACCTCTATAAATGATGAACAATCCTGGGGACTTGGGCATGTTCTCCATAAAAGGGGTTGGGAAGCAGAAGTTAAACAGAGTATAATAAAAAGCAAGTTACACTCTCACAGAACAAAATTATGTACTTTTAACAGTCCATGTATATGAATTGAAGGAAGCATGCCAAATAAAAACAGTTTTAACCACTAGGGAGACATTGAGTTTGAGAAGCTTATAATTTAAAAACAAAATTTAATTGAAAAGACCAGAGATCTGCTGAAGGCTCATCCCTCCCTCAGGTACAAACAATCCTTCTTTAGTTTGGTCCCCTTTAGAAAGGACCCAGTATCAATAAATATTCAGTGTCTGGGGAGTAAAGTAAATGCTCCAGCCTAAGAGAGGAAAGGATATTTCTTGAAAATCTGAATTCTCTTTGGGGCTAGTGGTCATAGGACTCAAAGTTTTCTTAGTTCTGGTGAGGAGGAGGGTCCTTGTTCACCCTAAGTTTTGGGTCCCTAGGCAGGAAGGTGGGAGTCAGAAGTACAATCTGGCTCTCTGCCATCTTTTCTGCTAACTACCCTATTGCATTTTTAAGGCCAAGGTGGAAAGTTCAGTTTCCCAAATATGTATCAACTCACTAACTACTTTGTTCAGAGTAAACAGTAGGTCCATAGGAGGAATAGAAATCTTTCAAAACTCAATTCAAACATCATCTCCTCTCTGAAGACTTTCTTGACATTGCTCAGCACCCATCCCTGGTAAAACTGACCACTCCTCTTTTTTTCAGCCTCATCAATCACATATATATTTGTGTTGAACATGAGATTTCATTTATTGTTATATGTATGTACTATATATTGTTATATAATACATATTGTTTGGGAGGATAGATATAATAATTATACTGTAAGTATCTTGAATTCAGTAATAATGTCTTATTCTTTGTGGTATTTAGTATCCAACACATATTGGGTCCTTCTTTAACACTCATTAGAGTTATGTGGAAAAGGCATACATTTTTGTACTCAAGGGATTCACAACTTAAAAGAAGACCTGAGTGTGCTTTAAATTAACACAGTCTACTATAGTAATCATAATATATTACACATTTTAACTCAAAATAGTATTGCCAGTTGAGGCAACATTGATTGTATTAAGTTAAAATGTCACCTTCTCCTAGTAGAGGTATGGCTACCTTTCTGGGGGTGAGTGACTCAGAGAGCCCAAAGGTGGCTTTGGGGATGCTGGTCATATTCTATTCCTTGATCTGAGAGCTAGTTATCCAGGTGTCCCTATTTTGTGAAAATTCATTAATTTTCTTTATATTCCACTTGAAAGAAAACCGTTTTTAAGTCCTCAGATGGGCTCGTCCTGACCACTATCTAAAATATTACCTTACCTTGCCTTATCTTCATCATTTTTTCTTGATTTGTAAACTTATAAGAACAGGATTTATGTCTGTCTGTCTTCACCACTGTGTCCCCTAGTCCTTCGGGATGGCCTGGCGCTAGTCAGTTTTACTCTCAATTTCTACTTGTCAGGTTTTAAATAACAAGATATGGTCATAAGGAATGAGATGAAATGAAAGCCAATCGGCTTTCAATAACATCACAAAAGGTGCCTGATTTTAGCTGCATCATTATGGGACTATTCTTATCTAATAGAACAGAGAGAGAATAAGGTAGATGGTGAGCTCTCAGGAATCATCAGTAGATAGCAGAAGTACTTGCAATGTACGACCTGAAGTTTTCCCTCAGTGGAGCAGGACAGACACACAATCACTACCCAAGGGGAGCCTGCGTGGCTCAGTTAGTTAAGCGTCTGACTTTGGCTCAGGTCATGATCTCACAGTTT